TAAATCTCAGGTTGCCTTTTGCAGTTTTTTCATTTTTTAAACTATTGCTTCCCATATCATCCCTTAGTAGATTCTTCTTTGTTCCTTCCTCCTGTCTCCATGACGTTCATTGCACTGTCTCACTCTGTCCGCTCATACCTTCACCTAGTAGTAGCTGCATTTCAGCCCAGAGAGAACGGTCCTGGGAACAGACTCCCTTTCACCAGTGCAAAGTGAGAGAAAATGATTGCTGCTAATTGAGATTCACTGATACTAGCTGGAGATGGCAGCCATTTTGAATTACATAAAACTGCACATTTCCAGGCAAGTACAGAACATAATGAAAATCACCAAAACCAATGTAAGCTATTTAGGGCTTAAAATTGAACCCTAAATTTGGCTATCAGATTTATGTCAAAAGATCAACTTTGAAAATATTAAGTTGTTTGATAACAAATTTATACAGATTTAAGCTTAATAAAGAAGTTGACAAAAAATTACTGTAATTACTGTGAGAATAATATGGAGGTATATTAAATATTTATCTGACCATTTCAGCAAAGCCTGAAAAAGAGGCCAAATAATGAAGGACCAGTACCTTAATACAGTTCTTTTGATCTGACAACATTAAGACCGTTGGAATTATTCACTGTTTTCAACAAAGCTAAGTAACCTGGCAAGATGAAAGTATTCTATTTTGGCAAAACTGCATTTTAACTGCTATGATAGTAATATGTAAAATTAAATTACAAGATCAGTTAGGCATTTTTTATCTACTTGATTCCATCTTTAAAAAGACAAGGAGCCCTCGATTAAGCTAAAATGAAACAAATCTAAACTGAGAAAAATGTTTCTACAATAAGACTCATTTTTTCAGTAACATAATACTTCATTTTAAGCTTTCAAGCAAGTTGGAATGTTCACTTTCTGGAAAAAAGACTAGTATGGTTTATTAGTCATAGTAAGCTTAAATTGCTTCATAACAAATTTCATAAAATGAAAATACACTCAATACAATATTAATTGATTTAGCTAGGCCTATTTGGGCCTTTCTTACATTTGTTTCTTTGGAACTGTCCCAGGTCAAGTAATTCAGATACCAGATTGAAGTAAGGTCTTGTGTTCTGATACAGCTGTTGTTATTATCCTTGAACTTCCAGTCAGAAAAGAGTTGGGTGGTAGAAACAAAGTATTTTCCTTCTAGTGGCTAGTTGATCAAAAACTCTCTTTAGGTCCTGATTCTCTTTGTTTCTGGAGTGCTTCTCCATTTGTGAATATCGTAATGAGCACTCTCCTTGTCTTAATAATTGATCTACAAAGTGAAGGTGTCTCCTGGGAAGAACTGACAGCAAGGGTGCGGTCCCTTCCACATGAATCCTCAAACATCTGAAAAGCAATAACCCAGAAGTAAATAGGGACATAAAGGAGGGGTGTAGAATGCCTAGAGCCAGCCTTGTGCTAGCTGGGGTATTTCAACAAATGAGGTATTTTCAGCTGCTGTAAGAAAGCAGTTTTCCTGCCCTTAATGATTCAGAGTAGCACAAACAGGTTAGAGCAAGTGTTGAGAAACTCTTAATTACAGCATTGATTTAAGGCAGGCAGACCATGCAGTCCAACATAAACAGACTGTAGAAAGCAGAGACATAAGTATTTTAACAACCCATTTTCAACTGCCCTAATTTATCTTTCTCAGCTTTAGTCATCTCTCTTTCACCCATAAAGCTATGCATATTTCATCTTTTGAAAAATCGGCCTATAATTTTATTAAACACTGATATTTTCACAGTTCTGATTTCAACTATGTAATTTCCATACAAGCATTAGTATTTGGTTCTGAATAATTAGTATTGTGAATAATTAGCCAGAATAAATATCCAGAATAATTAAGGGACCAGTACAAGACAGAACACAAGTGCTGGTAAAAGAAATTCTGAAAACTTTACCTGACCTACATTAATCATCAAAACACTAATATTTTATGAGAGGTACTCCTGTCAGGCTATATATTGATATGGACATTGGAGGTATGTGGATAGTGGGTAGTGGAAGGGAGGTAGTTGAAATGTGGAACCACAGTGTACAGAGTAGATGGAATGTTAAATAGTAAAATTTGCACGTTCCTTTTTTTTTTTCTGATTAGCTTTTTTTTTGGTAGAATTTTCAGTGTGGTAACAATAACTCAGTTATGAAAAAGTGGTAACTTGGAAATTGGAAACTATTCAAATAGTACAGCTTTTTGCCTATGTGCTGATTTTGATTTGTTTAAAATTTTCATATTCAACCTATTTGTGTTTGAGTTTCAGAATGGTTTTAGAAATTATGTTATGACAAGTGATTATTTCATATTTTCTTCATCTAAGCAACATGATACAGCCTCTTTTGTAACAGCTGTATATCTTATAGCTGGTATGAGCTTGTAATTAATTTCTTATACTAGAAGTCTGGAGTCTAGAAGGAAGTTTGGAAATACTAGAACAATTTCTTTGTCTAGTGATTGTTGTTCTGAATAGGTAGCTATTTGATCCGGGCTTATAAATTAAACTGTTAAAAGCTCTTACTTAATTACTCACTTCCAGTCAATCTGACAGATATTTATTTTCTCAGAGCTGGTCAGATCGCAGAAACTTTCCCTGGAAAGAGGGAGTGTGCAGGTATTTTTTTTCCTTTCGAGCCCTGTTCCTTTCAGGGAAGGCAGCAGTAAAATGCCACCTATAGATAAGACTTCAAACCCCATGATTCTTTGGGAGAGCATGCGCTGAAAGCTCCCAGTTGTCAAAGTGCTCTTGCCAGAGTGGTCGACTATTTGTCATATACCAAACCTGAAAGAAGAAAATAAATATACTGTCATTTTGTTGATCTATAAATACAGAAAATCCAAAGGTAACTGTTCCTTAAAAATTTCTGTGTTAACTGTGTGGGTTGCTGCATGCAAATAGAGCTGGTATTGCTATGGGGATATAGATTTCCTGTACTGGGTTGTAAATTTGTACAAATACTTACACCAGCAAATGATCAAGAGGTACTGCATATTAGTCCAACATTAGACATTGGCTGGCCTGTCTTTCAAAGTCATTTATTATCCAGTGTTTTTCCATTCAGACTGGCTTCATTCATTAAAGGTAGGTCTTGACCTTGACAAGAGGGTTGAATTGTGCAGTGATTTTTACCTTTAAGAAGCAATATGAAAATGAATGTGGATTACAGTCCGTAGGATAAAGTTCAAAAACAACTAGTGAAGTCAAGGTACATATTTGAAGCAACTGCTGTGCTAGCCACTATAGATAACCTGGTGACTAACTGATTTAAATATACTTTATTGACGACAGAATTTTAACATTTCAGCTGCTATGTTTTTCTCTCTAAATATATTTTTGTACTGATAGCTCAGAACCAGGGGAGGGGTAAATAGAATCTTTTTCCCTCTCTAGTGTGGAATCATCAGTAATTTTGTGTAGCCTTAGGAGTAATAGTGATTTTGATAGAAATGAAGCTAATGGAAAGCTATACAGAGCTTGGTATATTATTGCTTACTGCAGTGTTGCTTTAAACTGCCTTGCAAGGTTTTCTGCACCCCCAGCAGCAGCAGAGCTGCCTGTTATGGATGTAATATTTTACTCCATTCTTGGTATAGACTTAGCATAGTCTGTTCATGAACCCTTGCTGTTCTGTTTATATATTGAACAGGTAAATTATAGGGAGCATAAGCAGTAACTTAATTGATAGCAGTAACCTGTCCTGACATTCATTTTAGCTAAAAAATATGTGTATGGCTCAGAAGAGATTTAAAAGAAAGGAACAAAAAATGTTGAAGATACACATGGACCCTCTGAAAACTGTTGATGTCAGAAAGGAGAGGGTTGTCGATTTCACTCTTTGCTACCTTTCTTTAACTGTTAATTAATTTGGCTTTACTTTGTTACATTGAAACAACAGTCCTAAAAAATTCAATCTTAGGAATGTACATGTCATATTATTAACTCAATAGAAGTGCAATTAAGTATTCAGTGATGACCATCTTTGACATAGTTACTCAATTAAAGTAAGTGATTTTTGGCTCATTTAAAGTACTTTTGAGATTTAGAATGATCTCCTCAATTGACTAAAAGTCTGCAAAATGTGGAGGTTCCTGTTCTAGTTTCAAACGATTGCTGTTTGTTGATGTCTGTATATGCATTAGTGCTATTGTGTTTGAAAATAATCAAATTCCACGATCTGTCCTGTTTCATATGAAGCACCATTTCTTGCAGATATAAGACTCAACCATTCTACATACATTTACTTTTTCAAGTTTAAACTTATGTATTGATTTAGCAAATATTTCGCATCACTAGCCTTTGTCTTGTGCATATAAATACGGCTTTTAAAATGTGGCATGTCTAGATTTTAGATGTTTCAATTTGGCCCATTTTTATTTTTCCTTGTGAAAGCATCTGGAACATCATAGTCTAATAATACCTCCCAGATCTGCTCGTTTTGACCTTATTTTTTTCCAGTGAACAAATTACCGATGATTTCATATCCAGAGAAATGTAGCAAGCAGAAATACCTTTAAGGAGAGGGCTTCTTTGATGTAAAATAGCGTTTTACACGCAACGATCGTAAAGTCACGGAAGGCAAATCTAACACCCATCGGTGGCTTTGTACCTGGAGTGTCTCCACATCCCCCCCCCGCCCCGGCATTGCGATCGCTTCCCGTGCCCGCAGCCAGCGCCGAGCCGGGCGGCAGAAAAAGGGCCAGAAAACGCCGGTGCAGCGGAGAACCGCTCCTGTTTCCCTGCGAGATTTCGTGTGCGCTTTCTCTCGGGTACACTGAAATAATTGAAAGCTTGTTTGTTAATTAAGGAAAATCGGTACCCGGCTCCTTTAAAGGTCCCCTAATAGAAAAGGGGGTGGAGAAGAGTGAAGACTGGTGTCTTTTTAACCTTGCTGAAGGACGCAGCAGTATTTATTGACGTATGCAAATAACCAGGGGGAGGAGGTGGAGGAGGAGGAGGGTGCTTGGAAAAACAGGAACCAGAATCAGTTTCTCATTGCAGGGTGAGAGCTCTGAGTTCCGGTGTAAGAGAAAAGAGACGTGGCGAAATTGCTGTATATCTCTGCCCTATAAGCACATCTCTCATTTAGACTGAAGGGAAACAAGGCATCAAAAAGGGTGAAGCATCTTAAAAAATATTTTCAAGGCAATCTAGCTCGATCAAAGGTTACATATTCCTAAATGGGGGAGGGGGAAGATTACGGGTTTGCCTTGCAACTTGCTGTAGCGTAGCACTAGCAATAGGATGAGAATTTTGGCCGGCAAATGATTAAAACAGCCTGGTTTGTGGTATGAATGACAATGTTAATAATCTGTCTTTGTGGTTTTTTCCCCTACTGTTTCAGCTGCGCAAACCATGCAGGATGATTTACTGATGGACAAAAGCAAAGCCCAGCCCCAGCAGCAGCGGCAGCAACAGCAGCAAGATCCAAACTCAGCAGAAGCCCCCTCTACGCCCATCTCGTCGGAGACACCCAAACCAGAAGACAACAGTTCAGTGACTAGTATCGGCACATCGGCTCCTTCCCAAAATAGCAAGGAGAAGATGCAGATGGAGTCTCCCATTTTGCCTGGCTTGAGCTTTCACCAGCCTCAACAAGAACCTGCAGCCGGCACCTCCTTGTCTCCCTCCTTCGGCAGCACCTGGTCTACAGGGACCACAAACACGGTGGATGATAGCTTTTTCCAAGGGATTACTCCAGTCAATGGGACAATGCTTTTCCAGAATTTTCCACACCATGTCAACCCTGTATTTGGTGGCACTTTCTCACCTCAAATTGGCCTAGCTCAGACTCAACACCACCAACATCAACAGCAGCAGCAGCAAGCTCAGCAGCAGCAGCAGCGGAGGTCACCTGTAAGCCCTAATCAGGCACCTTTCGCCCAGAGAAATGCTGCTTACAGTCATCAGCCCATCATGACCAGCAAACCGTCTTCCTCCTCTGCCTCTTCTTCTTCCTCCTCCAGCTGGAATAACCATCAAAACGCGGCTTGGAGTACACCTTCCAACCCTTGGGGTGGGCTGCAGGCTGGTAGGGACCCTCGAAGGGCAGTTGGAGTGGGGGTTGGCGTGGGAGTGGGGGTCGGCGTACCCTCCCCCCTCAATCCCATTTCACCCCTTAAAAAACCATTCTCCAGCAATGTCATTGCCCCTCCGAAGTTCCCACGGGCTGCACCCTTAACCCCCAAATCCTGGATGGAAGACAACGCGTTCAGGACGGACAATGGCAACAATCTGTTGCCTTTTCAGGTAAATGACTACATACACCTTCTACATGGTGACAGCTATCACAAAATTATATTTTTTGAAGGGGTGTATTTCATGTTACTGTTTTATCTGAGGCATCTCCATAACTCCTATTTGCATTGAATAGTCACCTTATATGAAAGAGTGGGGTTGATCCTAGGGAATGCATACACAAAGATTCCAAATTCTGGCTTAAGGTTTACAGTCTTACTTTTCTTGTAACTTACTCTTAAATGTGACAGGGCTTTTTTTGTTGTGGGTTTTTGTTTGTTTGTTTGTTGCTGTTTTTTTAGCATCTGAAAGGTAGTAGCCTTCTTTCATGGAAAAACAGGTTTGGCAGGCTACATTCTGTTGGTGCTGTGTGTGTGATAATTTTTTTTTTTTCACATTCTTCCATACGTGAGAAACAGAAGACAGTAAAATTGCTGGCTTCAGTTTTCTAATTGGCATGTTAATTTTAACCAAAGATGCTTCTTGACCCAAAATCCAGTTAATTATTTTATCACCATTGAAATAACTAATTGTCCTTATGTTGTGGTGGGATTTAACAGGGAGTCTGTTCGCATAAGGTATACATTTCAAAAGCTGTATACATCTAATACATACACCCTGCTGTTATATTCACAGTGGACGTTTTGAATACATCTAGAAGCAGCGTGGGTGTGTATGGAAAGAGTACCTGTCCTTTCCAGTAAGGAAATGCCTAATACAATTGACGTGATTTAGAAATGGCAGGGAGGTATTGTATAAAATAAACCATTTTATCCCGTTCAGAATATTTGCAGAGAAAAGAGACAATAGGACACGACCTTCAGAGCCATATTGCAATGGAGTCTATTTACTAGCTACATAGCTCTGAAATATTTAAAGCTGCAGTGCCCTTCACTGTTTTTTTTTATCTATGACGACAAAGCAGATCAATTGCAGCTGAAACTGGGCCACATAGAAGATTTGCAATTTTAATGCAGAATGAAACCTGTCATGGTGTGAAATCCATTTTAAGTTGAAAAAAGCAGAGCATACACTTGCAGCTATATCTATACAAGGTGAAGTGAATCTTAAATTTCTTCTAGGTTAGCTTTTTTTGTCTCGGACAAATCGAAATTTTCTGTTTTGAAATGCCATGAAATCTTTCATATATGCTTTCTCTTTAGGTAATGGCTTTCTTAACAAAGTATGAAGTCTCAAACATTTTTAACTTATCAGTATGTTAAGAATAGCATCTAGATTGACGCTTAGTATTAGAAACAAAGTAAAAAAAAAAATAAAAATCGAACAATCCCCCCTCCCCCGACTTTAAGAGATCATTGAAGTAAAATATATACATTCCTGTGCACTTTCCAGTCCCATTCAAAGAGGGCACCTTATAGTCAGCCCTGAAATTTCATTTTGCTGCTTCATTCTGTTTAAAGGGAGAGTTGCTAATTTTTGATTGGCTACCCTCAATGAAGGCGGAGTGGCTTCTGGTGAACTGCTGGTCAATGTCTCTGTAGCACTGAACTCTGGAGAAAGATTATTCTTTAGACACAATATGCCTGGTGAAACTACTATGTTGCACGAGCACAGCAACACAAAAGCTAGTGAATATAGCTCCCAGTCAATTTTTAGGAGTGGGAAATGTGTTTCAATTTACAGTTATTCTTTTATTTAAATTGTCTACATGTAAGACATTACAAATTCTGGTAAATTTGAATTAGTAGGGAAAAGAACAGTAAATGGTCCTATTTCTGTGGTTTGGTTGGTAAGATACATCTTTAATGAATACACAACTTTATTACTGTGACTGTAAATTGTCACAAATTAAACTAGCAGGCATTTTAGTCATCACTAGAAGGAAAAGTAGATAAATATTTTTAAATAAAAGTTATTTTTATTTTAAAATTAGGTTTTGAAAAGCTAAGGTATTAGCCAATGTGTAAATTTGGAGACTTGTTTTTTTTCTCTGTGAATTTAATCTGGTATTTTCCTGTTCAACTGAAAGCAAATAGTTAGACTACTCTCAGCACCAGCTGGAATAACAGTCTGATTTCAGAGACTCAGAAAACTTGTATTTTTTTTTTCCTATTAGACTCTTTTTAACACAAGCTGCTGAATTTTGCATACAAGATTGTAATCTGGGTTGATGTTGATTGCTATACTTAAAAAATTTCCAAAGAACTCTTGAAACCATACTATTAATAGGAGGCAAGTGTTTAGTTACATCGATAAAAATGAAATTCAAACTCATATGAGAGTTTAATATTTGCTACTTGGATTCTGGTTGCCTTTTTCTTCTTCACCTTCTCCTCCCTCTACGCTTCACACCCCCCCTCCCAAATTGGGCAATATGTTGACACGGTTGACACAGTAAGTTCTGCTTGTCAGCACTATCAAGTAATTCTGGCAGGTTTATCCATTTACATCTGCCACCCTTCATAACTGAGCGTTTTTGATCTGCTGCAGAAATGCCTTTCAGTAAACTTGCTAGCAACACGTTAATGTACATTAGCAAGTTCTTTGTGCTAACCCATTCTTTTCTCTCATGTTGAGATGATAAGACTTTTTAAAATTTGTGGTTTATGTTTAAATAATTCCTTAATAAGATATGAAGCTCAAGATGTTATAAGTAAAAAAAAAAAAAATTAATGCGTTCACTGGTTGAATTAACATCAGTGATACCCATTTTTTAATTCACGTCTTTGCCGTGATCAAAAATTTTAAGTAGAAAATTTCTATAATCACGGTTTGTGTTCTGAGTCTGTAATATTTGAAGACAGCTGATACTGAGCTACTGATACATCTGGTTCTAGGAAAAAATGTTGAATTTGAAAGTCTCTTAAGAACATGTATATAAAGCAATATGCTAGACGTCTTCACCCCCAAATTTGAGTAATGCATTAGCACACCTTGTACGTCAAAACCAATTGACATCTGTCCCAAGGAGTTGTGCTGCAGAACATATCAGAACATTTAAAATATCAATTGGCAGGAATTCTGTTGGTGTCTGCCTTGTGATTGGTGTTGAAAGGCAACTAAAAATGCTTTGGAGGAGACTGTTTCCATATACTTACTGAGGAAAATTGATGGCACTCTATAAAAAAAGAAATTGAAGATCCAAAGTTGACGCTTGAAAGGGAAAAGAAAATAAGCAGTCCGTCTGGAACGAAATGTAATGTAGCAAATAAGAGTTGAAGATAAGATCACAGGAATAAATGTGTAACAACAGACGATAGGAAATACAGAAATGTGGCAGGTTTGTTCTTCTGAATATTCTTTTGGCTTCTGAGTGGTTCAGGCAAAGGTCCTCTGTTATGAATGTCATATGACAAGCAGTAGCGTTGTGCCATTGTGCTAGGTGATCCTCATTTCTGGCATTTGAGGCTGACATTAACTGATTGTCCCTGGGACCTGGGCAACGGTTCAGTTCCTTTTTAGAGCAGAGTGGTGGGGCTTGAAGAGAGCTATTGTCATCTCTTGCTTCTGAGCTCCTCCCAGAATTCTCTTTTCCTCCATTTATCTCAGGTAAACAGTGTATTTCTTCTGGCCATAGGAAGATATTGGGACACAGCTTGTGGGGTTAGGAGGATTGGTACTGCCTGAAATAGACCCTTGGAAGTATGGATAAGATGTTCTCTTTAGAGTGGGAAGATAGAGAGGGAATTAAATGATTGGACACCGGTATGCTAATTAAGGCAGTCTACCCTGTGGACTTTTAATAATAACACTAAAAAAATTCTTCAAGTTCTGCTGCTTTCTGAGTAATGTTCTTTAGAAACAACAAAAAATGCACAATTGCAAGTTTTAGATTTAAAAAATGCATAGCAGTTTGGTGCTCTGAAGATTCTGGCATATATCAAGTCATTCTCGTCATCTTTACTGATAAATACTTCCCTAGCGGAGATAAATAAAAAAAAATGACTGAATTAAAATGAGTTCAAGTATTGGAACATTCATGAGTGTAACTAATACAGTTTTATATTTATGACTAGAGGAGTTTTACTGACTAATACACTCTGGCGACTGTCATTTTAAAGTCTTTGTTAAAATCAAGATTTTTATTTATTTTTTTTTTTCCAACCGGAACTAGTTGGAATGCAATAAGTCTATTTGAAGATTGATTTTTAAAGCACTGTATTTCTTTAGAATAAATTTTATATTCTGGGCTCTGGCTTCTCGACAGTTTAGTAGGTAACCATTCTTAGTGTTACTGGTGTATTGAAAACTATTTGTAAACATGTAGGAAAAAGAAAACCATCTAATCTTAATGTTTTTTACTCGATGACACACAAGTACTGACTGGTATCCTGCAACTTTATGAACAAGAAAAAAGAAAGAGGAAAAAAAAAAAAGAACCTGGTTGTTGTGGAAGTAACTTAGTCTACTTTTCTTTTTATTTTTTTTCCCTCCTCCTTGCTTACATGCTTCTGTCGTTACTATTAATTAGCACAATAAGTAGCCTCATTCTGAATCTTAAAAAGCGAGAACACAGGTCACACTATCCTTGTAGTCTTCCAGTGTAACAGATACAAGCAATATATGTTTTAGCCTTAGTAGTTGTGAAGTATTTTACTATTTTTGTTAATTTTAAATTTGAGTTCAAAATGCCTGCATTTTCAAATTGATTAAAATACAGTAAGAGTACAGAAGAAAAAGCACGACTGTTTTGTATTTATACTATGATGATTTGATCACTAATTACTTATTGATTGATGTCTTGATTTTAAGTAACCAATTAAATCATGGATAAGCCCTCAAAGTCGGTGAAGGTAGAGCAAAGGTGTGAGTTCAGTATGCAGCTGATATTCTGAGCAACTCCATTTATAAGCAGGACTTCCTTAGAAATATTAAAAGTAGAACATGAAGAACAATGAATCAGTAATTTTGGTTTAAAGATTTGATAAATGAATTATCCGATGGTCCTTTGGGAGATAAGGTAGAAGGGAAGGTGAAGGGCATGGTAATTTATTTTGCTATTTCCCTTCTTGGATCATCCCCAGTTTTCATTTTTTTTGTCTAGAGGCCAC